ATTATGGTCTGTGCCAGTGTTTTTAGTCGGGTATCATCCTGTCTTTTTATCTTTTGGAGTCTTTGTCTCTGTCCTAATGAGAATGCAAGTTTCCCGAGGGCAGGGGCGGTGCGTCCCTGCGTCCTGCCTCCGCCTCGGCAGCCCTTCACCACTGACTTGAGGCATAGACAAGCCTTTCCGTGAACAGTGACATTCCCTTTTAGGTGGTCCTTGGCTAGGTGCTGTTTTGGGGGCTTTTCGGGCTTTTTAACATCTAGGGTGACAACACAGTCCTGCGTTTGAAAACCTTGGTGTTCTTGTCTGAAGGTGGACCTGTCCCGGTTTCTCGCTCCTGACTTGGGGTCCATCCTTGGAGTGGGCAGGGCTTTGTTCTTCAGGAGTGGCGTGCACTCCTCCTCATCAGAGTCATCTTCTCCAAGCCAGAGGGGTTGAAACTGGGTAGAGTCCGAGGCTCTGTGAACTTGCTGATAATTATGTGCAAAATTTTCTGGGCATATCCATACAATTTTAGGAGAAGGCGTGTAACTTTACAAGCCTGAAGCTCCGAACGTTGTCCAGGGAAGCTGCAGAAGAGGCTGGAGGCCTGCAGACAGTGCGGCCCTCACAGGTCCCTTGAGGCGTTGAATTGGCTCATGTAGAAATTTTCTCCAGGTGTCTAATCATGCGAATGTTGCTCTAGACAGGTGTATTCTTGTTTTTATTAAAATGTATATTGGCCGGGCGCGGTGACTCAAGCCTGTAATCCCAGCACTTTGGGAGGCTGAGGCGGGTGGATCACAAGGTCGAGAGATCGAGACCATCCTGGTCAACATGGTGAAACCCCGTCTCTACTAAAAATACAAAAAATTAGCTGGGCATGGTGGCTCGTGCCTGTAATCCCAGCTACTCAGGAGGCTGAGGCAGGAGAATTGCTTAAACCCAGGAGGCGGAGGTTGTGGTGAGCCGAGATCGCGCCATTGCACTCCAGCCTGGGTAACAAGAGCGAAACTCTGTCTCAAAAAAAAAAAAAAATGTATATTAGTAGTTGAAGTTTTTGTGCCACTATTTTGGGAAGGTTGGGAACACAGATACTATGGTTATGTTTTCTGAGAATAGCCCATGAAATTGTTCTCTCTCAACTTTTTTGCAATAGATACCCAAGAGATGTCATTGTTTTGCTCCAGTTGTGGAAAGCAAGTCAAAACTAGACAGACTAAATGGTCAGGGCAATGGATCACTTGTTTCTCTTACCCCGTTTTGAAAGAAAGGAATCAAAACACCGGAAAGAACATGTCAGAGCTGGATGTGACCGCCGACGATGTGGGTGTCAGGTGTGTTCCTGGCTCCATGTGGGAAGAGGTGGCTGAATGGGGCGTTTAGTGAACCGTGCAATGCAGGGTTAGTTTCCTGTTGCTGCCTAACAAAGTCCCGCAAACGTAGTGGCTCAAAGTAACATCTTTTTATTATTTTACAGTTCTGTAGGTCAGAAACCTAAAATGAATCTCCTTGGGCTAAAGTCAAGACCCAGTAGGTCTTTTACTTCCTGGAGGCACTAGGGGAGAATCTGTATCTTCCCGTTTTTTAACTTCCAGAGGCACCCACATTCCTTGGCTCATGGACTCTGTTAAAAGAAAAACTGCTGAATTAAATTTAAAGGAGTTTACTTGAGCAATGATCAACTCTTGACTCGGGCAGCCCCCGGAATCACAGCAGATTCAGAAGAGGGTTCAGGGATGCCTCGTGGTCAGAACAAACTTATAGACGATAAAGGGAAGTGATGTATAGAAATCAGAAGTAAAGTACAGAAACAGCTGGATGGGTTACAGGCTAGCATTTGCCTTATTTGAACACAGTTTGAGCACTCAGCAGTGTTGAGTGGTGGAAGTATGGCTGCTGGGGTGGGCCGGGACTCAGGTATCGTTACCGGTGCATACTCCTAAGTCAGGTTCTTAGTCTTGCTTACATATTAAGTCAGGTTACAGTTCATCCACAAGGACTCAGATACAGAAGTACAGAGTCCTCAGGCCATATTTCATTTGCTTTAACAACTCCCTCATTCATCTTTCAATCCAGCAATGGCCAGCCGAGTCCTCCTCACTGCTGCCATTGTTACTGGTGGAAGGTGTCCAGGTTCTTGGCATCTTGAACAAAAAATTGGACAACACACACAAAGTGAGGAAAGAATGTAGCAACAAAAGCAGAGTTATTGAAAGTGAAAGCAGACCCTGAATACAGAATCTTCCCGGGCCCAAATACCCGCTGGAGGTTTCCCATTGGCCACTTGGTGTTTACCCCATGTAAATGAAGTGGTGGCCCGCGGCCAGTGTGATTGGTTGTGGAAAGCAACCAATCAGAGGCTAAAGTGAAGTTACAAAATTACAGTCCTATGCAAATGTCTGATTAGTTGCAGAAAGCAACCAATCAGAGGTACTTTGAATTTGCCTACTGCCACGCAGAAAAGGTGAGGGTTTGCTGAGGCTGTAGCCCAGGGTCCTTCTGTTACTTGGGTGTGGAAAGTTAGTTTTCCTTTCAATTTAGTTCTAGGAAGTCAGCCTGAATTGGCTTTAGGTTCCCGGCCTCCAGACCCTATTCTACTGCCTCACGACCTCTCTGATTCTCTTTTCTGTGGTCACATTTCTCTGGGGCTGCAGCCAGGGAAGGTTTTCTGATTTCGGTGACCCGTGTTATTAAATCATCCAGGATAGCCTCCTTATCTCAAGGTCCTTAATTTAAGCACATTGGCAGAGTCCCTTTACTGTGAGAATTAACATTCACAGGTTCTGGGGATTAGAATGTGGATAGGGTTGGAGGGTCGTTATTATGCTGGCCACAGGGACTTGGTCCAGGTGCAGTTAATGCTTGTCCTAAAACAGATGGATTTGAATTTATAAGCCTGCAGTGCTGGTCACAGCTCTGGTAACCAGTTGTATAACTTTTTCGTCTCTAAGCCTCAGGTTCCTCACCTGAGATCTTAGTTTTATCTTTTAATTATTAAGCGTATTAACAATAGCTATTGTAATTTATGCTGTTGTGTGCATCCTACATTTCTCTTTGAGGAAATCCAGCCGCTTCTGAGATTGTTGGAGGCTGATAGCTCTCAGCTGGGCTCTGCTCCAAGAATTGCCCTCAGCTGAACAGAGGCGCTTTGCCCAAGGTCACACCCCTCCTCAGGGACAGCCTGCATCCAGTGACGGACCCATAGGGGTTGGGGGTGGTGGTGGTATAAAGGCCTGGCTCTCTGGCCTTAACTCTAAAGGGCCGTCCAGCTCCAGAGCTCCCCATTGGATTGACCGAGGCCTCCACTGCAGACGTGGTACATTTCATCTTCTCCCTCTGCCCAGCCCTTCTTCCTTCACCCCAACTTGGAATAGTTCCCAGGAGCACTGTCTAGTAAGTCTCCTTCACATACCTGTAGAGCTTTAGAGCTCACTTCCCAGGTAACCTGTCTGAATCCTCTGTAACCCTTTTTCTGTCGGTGGTTGTTTCTTTTGGTTTTTGATCATGTGGTTTTGTCTTATTGTATGACTGGCTATTTTAATTAATTATTTTATTTTATTTAGACAGGGTCTGGTTCGCTTGCCCAGGCTAGAGTGCAGTGGTGTGATCATGGCTCATGTTAACCTCCACCTCCTAGGCTCAAGCAATCCTTTTGCCCCAGCCTCTTGAGTAGCTAAGACAACAGGCATGAACCACCATACCCAAATAATTTTTACAATTGTTTTTAGCCAGGACAGAGTCTTACTGTGTTGCCCAGATTGGTTGGCCAGAACTCTTGGACTCAAGGGATCTGACTACCTCAGTCTTCCAAAGTGCTGGGATTAGAGGTGTGAGGCCACCATGCTTGGCCTTATGACTGGACATTTTTGATTAAATGTTAGACATTTGTGTGTGTGTGTGTCCGATTTTAGAGACTCTGGATATTATCTTCCTCCAGAGGATTGACTTCTGGCAGGAGGCTGGCTCGTCTAGGAGCACTGGCCTGCTCCAGCCAGGATTGAGACAACCTGGAGCTTGAGTCTGTTCCGGCTGATCTCATTCCAGCTTGTCTTTACTCCTGGGCTGCATACCTGTGGGGTTTGTGCTTTCATCCTCTTCTCCCGGGTGGGCGCTGTGCTTGGGTTTTGTGCCCTGGGCTCTGTGAGTCTGTCAAAGCTCTCCTCAGCATCAGCCTCTCAGCCAGGCTTTCCAGGTGGGCAGATGCCTTTAGGGGAAGAGGGACCAGGTGCTGAACTCCCCCCAGGCTTCTTCCTGTCCTGGATCTTGGCGTTGCCTTGGTAGTTCTCTGAGGCCGTGAAACAGATTCAGGTTGTTCCTTGAGTTTTTCTAGTTCTCTGCAGAAGAGTTAGTTTAAACCCCCAACTCTGTATTGCTGGAAGCTATTTCCTGCAGTATTGTTTCTTTTTTTTTTTTTTTTTCAGACGGAGTTCCGCTCTTGTTACCCAGGCTGGAGTGCGATGGCGCGATCTCGGCTCACTGCAACCTCCGCCTCCTGGGTTCAGGCAATTCTCCTGCCTCAGCCTCCTGAGTAGCTGGGATTACAGGCACGCACCACCATGCCCAGCTAATATTTTGTATTTTTAGTAGAGACGGGGTTTCACCATGTTGACCAGGATGGTCTCGATCTCTTGACCTCGTGATCCACCTGCCTCGGCCTCCCAAAGTGCTGGGATTACAGGCTTGAGCCACCGCGCCCGGCTTCCTGCAGTATTGTTGAAGTATAACTGTCTTTTACCCTTGAAATAATAGTTTTACTAAAAAATAATTTAACCATTGATATGTAAATAATTTACATCTTTATTGCTTAATTTTATACCCACTTACAATTTTTTCCATATACAGATTTGAAGTGGAATTGTGCTAAAAGTGTGCAAAAGTCCAAGGCTTTTAATACATTTCTCAGTTGCTGTCCAGATACCCTGTACCAATGTACACTTCACCAATGGTAGATGAGATAAGCCGCCTTGTCAATCTCTGTTAAATCTGGCTTCATAAATGCGCATGCTTTTTCTTCCCTCCTGCAGGCACGTGCTTTAACACCTCAAACTGCAGAAACAGATGCCATTCGCTTTCTGGTTGGGACGCAGTCTCTTAAATATGATAATCAGGTAACTATTTTTGACAAATGTATACATGATAATTACTAAGCCTATTCTTGGTGTTATAACCGTTTTGCTCTTGATTTTCCAGCAACATTTGAGAAAAGAATTAATACCACATAAACAAAATAAACCTTTCAATGGATTTAAGTCTATCTTCAAATCAAAGAATGTTATCCATCTGTATGTACTGACTCAGTTCAGTAATATAAACTGACTCCATTTTGCATGACTTGTAGTTTTGTGCTGCTCTTGTGGCTGCATAGACTTTGCGTTATAGGCAATTCCCGTTGATCCAGGCCACTTGATCTCTCACTGCCACTTGATTCAGGCGGGCATACAGATGGAACCTTTTAGCTGTTCTGGCCACTGTAGCAGACACTCATGAGATCTGGATTCAGTTCATGGCCTGGCAGTAACCATGTGGCCTTGAGCACATGGATTCACCTGCTGGACTCCACTGTCCTCGTTGCTAAAGTGGAGATTGAAATGAGACACCGTGGTGACTGTGCAGATGTGCATTATCTTCAGCACAGGGAAAGTGTGCATGAGGCCACGTCAGGCATGGTCTGGGGACTCTGCCCTGCTTATCTGATCACGCAGGGGAAAAGACATTAAAGTAGCTATCGAACAATATGCAGGCCTGGATAGGATATAGTCAGACTGTCACTCTCATACGTTGATAAGGATTTAAAATCCACATAGTCACTTGGCAACTAATCAGTGATAGTTTCAGAGCTTTATAAATAAATGCTTATGTACTTAATTAGCAATTTCTGTATCCCAAACCCAGACAAAAATCATTATACACAAAGAATATTAAGTGCAATGATACTTATAGTCATAAAATATTACAAGCAATCAGAGTATCAAAATGCGTGAACGTTAGGTTGCACAATACGAAATTGCCACTTGTTATGGCAGATTTACACACTTCCCTTGGGTTGAATCTGTTACTCACAGTAAATAGTATTCACTTATTACACTCATTAAAAGTTGCAAACTCCTAAGAAATATGACAACTTAAGAATCGTTAGATGATTCAGTGGGATGTTAAAACTGTGTTTACAGTATGATCAATGTGGTGTGAAAAAGCAAAGTACACGGTGAATTTCCTCTTAGAATAAAGACTGGAAGGACATAGGCCGAAAAGGACTAAAAATGGAGCCCAGGGTTATCTTCAGATGTTATTCACCTGCGAGATGTGCTGCCACCTGTGGATGCCTCAAACCTTGGCGAGTACTGAACCCTGTACGTCGAGTTTTTCCTGTCCTTACATATAGGGAAACTTTAAGTTATGAATTAGGCACAACAAGAGATTAACAATGTAGCTAATAATAAAATAGAAAGATGATTGTTACTTATGTACTATACTCCCCTTCTTTTCTTTTTTTGAGACAGAGTCTCACTCTGTTGCCCAGGCTGGGGTGCAATGGCACGATCTTGGCTCACTGCAGCCTCTGCCTCCTGGGTTCAAGCAGTTCTCCTGCCTCAGCCTCCTGAGTAGCTGGGATTACAGTCAGGAACCACCATGCCTGACTAATTTTTGTATTTTTTTTTTTTTTTTTTTTTTGAGGCAGAGTTTCACTCTTGTTACCCAGGCTGGAGTACAATGGCACAATCTCGGCTCACCGCAACCTCTGCCTCCTGGATTGAGGCAATTCTTCTGCCTCAGCCTCCCAAGTAGCTGGGATTACAGGCACGTCCCACCATGCCCAGCTAATTTTTTGTATTTTTAGTAGAGACAGGGTTTCACCATGTTGACCAGGATGGTCTTGATCTCTTGACCTCGTGATCCACCCGCCTCGGCCTCCCAAAGTGCTGGGATTACAGGCTTGAGCCACCGCGCCTGGCTAATTTTTGTATTTTTAGTAGAGATGGGGTTTCACCATGTTGGCCGGGATGGTCTCGAACTTCTGACCTCAGGTGATCTGCCCGCCACCTCAGCCTCCAAAAGTGCTGGGATTATAGGCATAAGTCAGCATGCCCGGCCACTCACCCTTCTTCTTCAGAAGCTGTGCAATGGTATAAGGCCTGCATGATGAGATGAAGTGAGGGGACTGATATTGGCATTGTGATGTAGTGTTGGGCTATTATTGACCTTCTGAGGATACGTCAAAAGCAGGATGATCCGGATCATCACGCCGTGCAATGTTGACGGTTGGATGTCTGGAGCAGTGTGGCTGGCTCAGGGCAGGTAGCTTTTGTAGCATGGATATGCTGGTCAAAGGGACGATTCATGTGTTGTTGTCTGGTGGTTTTGTCTTTCTGCTTCTAGTAAAGGCATGTGACACTTGTTGAGCTGTTCATTCATCCAGTCAACAAATGCTTACTTCGTAGAATAACAGAACTCTTTAATTCCTCTTCTTTATGTGGTGGGCACACAAAAACTGAACAGATATTTGTGTCCTGAGTTCAGTGTTGAGTGAAATGGCGAAATGGGTAAGCAGTGACTCACAGTGTTATTAGTGTTACCTTCCGGTATGCCTGGCTCTGGATCTGCACCCAAATCTCACGTTAAATTGTAACCCCCAGTGTTGAGGGAGCGATCTGGTTGGAGGTGATTGGATCATGGGCGTGGAGTCCCCCTTGCTGCTCTTGTGACAGTGAGTGCATTCCCATCAGATCTGATTGTTTGAACGTGTGCCTGCTTTCCATTCACCCTCTGCTGTGATTGTAAGATTCCCTAGGCCTCCCCAGCCATACCTCCTTATACAGCCTGTGGCACTGGGGGTCAATTAAACCTCTTTCCTTTATAGAAACTACCCAGTCTAAGGTAGCTCTCTTTTTTGAGACAGAGTCTCACTCTGTCACCCAGGCTGGAGTGCAGTGGTACAATCTTGGCTCACTGCAACCTCTGCCTCCCAGGTTCAAGCAGTCCTTCTGCCTCAGCCTCCCGAGCAACTAGGATTACAGGCACACGCCACCGTGCCGGCTAATTTTTGTATTTTTAGTAGAGACGGGGTTTTGCCATGTTTACCAGGCTGGTCTCAAACTCCTTACCTCAGGTGATCTGCCCGCTTTGGCCTCCCAAAATGCTGGGATTACAGATGTGAGCCACCGTGCCTGGCCTCAGGTAGTTCTTTATGACTGTGTGAGAATGGACCAATACACCATCTCACAGTTTTCTCCGTGTCCTTGTCTTGCAGCGTCCTCTCTGTCTCTGCCTGGTAGTGTCTTCCCTGTCCCTGTTTCATGGCGTCCTCCTTGTCCCCGTCTTGTGGCATCCTCCCTGTTCCTATTTTGCATGTCCTCCCTGTCCCCGTTTTGTGGTGTGCTCCCTGTCTTGTCTCATGGCATCCTGCCTGTCCCCATCTCGCAGGGTCCTCCCTGTCCCCGTCTTGCGGTGTGGTCCTGTCCTGTCTCCTGTCTTGCAGCATGCTCCCTGTCCCCGTCTTGCGGTGACCTCCCTGTCCCCATCTCACAGCGTGCTCCTTACCCCCGTGTCGCGGTGACCTCCCTGTCCCCATCTTGCAGTATCCTCCCTGTCCCCATCTCACAGTGTGCTCTGTCCCTGTCTTGCGTTTTGCGGTGTGCTCTCTGTCCTGTCTTGTGGCATGCTCCCTGTCCCTGTCTTGCAGTGACCTCCCTGTCCCCGTCTCACAGCGTGCTCCCTGTCCCTGTCTCGAGACATCCTCTGTCCCCGTCTCGTGGTGGTATTGTGCAGTTCTTTGGCAGCTGTTTGCCATGGGTATGTTTGGAGCCTGCTGGGAGCGGCTGTGTGGGCAGTGCCAGCACTGAGGTCAGTAAAGTGGGCCCTGCCCTCACAGTCTTCCTGGGGCTCGCAGTTGGCTGAGGCTGGTAGAGACTGGGAGGTGGGTGAGTGGCTGGAGGAGGCACCTGGTCTGGAGCAGGGCCGGTCAGGGCTGCTTCTCGCCTGTGGTCTTGGTCAGCAGAGCGGGTGTTCTGCTGAGGCAGGCGGCCCTGCACAGCGTGGAGCTGGTATGTGGCAGGATCGGGACTGAGACCTGCATGTGTCCTCTCTCTGCTCCCTTCCCTCCTGTGAATTTGCAGTTCAGCTCAGACGCATATGCTGGGGAGATGCTCTTGTACCTGGAGTGTGCACTTTTGTGCAGACACTCGTGGAAAGAGTGTACCCATGCTCTGTTTGGTGGGATGTCCCTGAAGTCAGGACAGCTCCATCCTGAGCAGCCTGGGCCTGTGGTTCCAGCTGTGAGCAGCCACCTGTGCGCATCTATCTGCGCAGAGCAGGAGAGACAAAGGAAGGCTCTGCTGGCTGTGGGTGCAGCCCCGCCCCTGTGCCTTCGGTGACTGTAATAGAGACCGACCTTCTCCTGCACAGTGGGAAGCCCCTGCCCCTCGCTCTGGAGCTCCAGTTCTGAGAGGGGCTGGGAATGGTTCATGGCTCCTGGCTCCCCTCAGGCAGTCATGGATTCCCTGGAAGTGCCCGGCACCTGCCTCATTACTCCACAGTGCAGCTGCGCTGGCTTTCTGGAAATGTGGCAACTGTCACAGTGGCTGACGTTCCTTGGAGGGACAAACTAATTTCTGTCTGTTTCCTCCTGGAGCATGGGACTCTGTTGTAGCTCCCTGTGCTCAGAGTGGGACAAAGATTTCTGGGGTCCTCACTCTCTTTCTGGGGTTCTCCTTCGAGGAGGAGCTGGAGTTCTTCTGGGGGGTGTGCGCTCATGGCGTAGCATGGGCAGGGATTTCCCCCCTGAGCTGCTTCAGCTGCTTCTGGGGTTGGCTTTTCCCAGAGACTTTCCCTGCATATTGGTACCCCCTCTTTCTTATGTAGATAAGGGATGAGTCTTAATCTTCCTTCTGGAGACCTCTGGGAGTGCCCGGGTGACAGAGGGGACCGGCTTTGCCTCTTCTCACATGGAAGCATTGCCCGGGTGCTGGGATCCTCATCAGTGGAAAGACTGACGTTGCAGAAGGGCAGTGCCAGAGCGGCTGGTTTCTTTCCCTGGGTAACTGCTTAGCTTCTCAGCTCAGCTGTGTGTTCTGCGTCTGTTTTGATTCACGAAACTTTGTTCCTGCAGGCT